GCATTGCGGCCAAATTCGATATCGCGTTCAGGCTGCAAGGGAAACAATTTACGGGTCATTTCAATAGGAATTTTGGCTGAAAATCCGGCGAAAGGTGGGTTAAAATATTTTGGAAAAAGTTCGATCAGTTCCNGTTATCGAAAAATATTTTGGAAAAAGTTCGATCAGTTCCTTTGTTGTTAACTTTTGTCATTTCGGCTCGTTAGCGGGGCTGCATGGGACACAGGTACGGTACGACCCAATAATCAGCGGTGCGAGTAGACTGTTACCCCTATAAACCCCATTGCCAAGGCTCATGTCTTTACATTAAGTGAACAATTTATTTCGTATCCAATGAATGGATTTTGTCACAGATGCTGCCAAAATTAAAAAAATACGCAAGATAAATTAGGGTTTGTGTATAAATGGATCAAGCTCCCAAAATGCTGAAGAGTTACGAACATGATCTTACATCCTAAACTCAGACATTGAGGTTCACATTTCGAGTAGAATGTCGAGCTCAGTAAGTGATATCAAGTGCACCCAAAATAGGATCGTACGACAACAGAAATTTAGAACTATTTTCATATTTAATTACTGAAGAGAATAGTTCATAATAGAGGAATAGTTGCGTATCGAAAAATAATTGGTAATATGGAGCAAAGTAATTTTATTATTTTCTTACTACTCGTTGAAATTATCAATATAATTCGTCCTAAGAATGTATTGTCTCAAATTTAAATTTTATTGAAATTTTACTTTAAATACAGGAAATGCAGAGAATTAAAGCATTCACATAAATTTTCCATGACAATTAATGTTAACTTAATAAAAAATGTTTAATTAAAAACTAGTAATTAGTTTGTTAACAAAGTTGAGGACCATTCGTGATATTTATTTTATTTCCGATTACTGGTTTTTTTCCAGAAATGAAACATAATTATGAGAAGCTTTCTTTGACGTGCTGGCGTATGAGCTTCCCCGCGCATTTCATTAGCTGCGGTTCGGTCGGTATCATCATGGTTGAAATAATAATAATAACTCAACCATTGATATCATTGGATAATTTTGGGTAACTCAGAGGCCCGGTCTTTATTATTCGCTGCTTCTGCGCACTTTAGGAGCCCGGTCTTCATCATCGGCATATTTTGGTAATTTTGAGGGTCGGTTTTTATCATTGGTATTTTGTGTAATTTTTAAAAATAAATCATTGGATTGGATTTCGCAATAACGGCATGAGAGGATTTGTGGGGTATAAGTGCCAGTCATTACCCACACAATAAAACAACAGGATTGTAAATGAAAGAGAATGGAACTGAGATTTTACAGCAAGGCAAATTAACAACAAGGTGGGCTTTGAATATAAGTATTAAGATGGAAAAATAGTGTAAAGAATAATAACACTACAGATTAGCGCGCTGCCTTTGTATGGACAGTTGACATTTATTGGAATCCGACTTGATGAGACTTTGATGTTAATTTGACAGCACAATATGAGGCGTATATTGATACGTGCAACTGATGCATTTTTCGGGCTGTAAATTAATTGTGTGCACTCTCGGTCATTTTTATCATGTATAAATAATTATTGAGACATACGGGCGTTCAGTAAAGATTATTGAAAGGGAGTCTTTACTGGCTTGTGAATGAGTTAAAAAAGTTTCGGCTCACTCATTCGATATCAATTAGTATGATTACAGACCTTTTGATGCTACATGATAGCTTTTCATACAAAGCTTTTCTTCACGCCTTTTCATGACGAAATTCAATCATTTCAGTTCAAATATTTCTGGGGTATTATTTGACGAAGAAATGCTGTCATGTTGTTCATATTGCTGGCATGGCAAAAAAAAATTTTCAAAAAAAGATTCAAAAAAATTTTGTTGAGATCTTAACACATTGCCATTAAAATTCCATTTGTAACTTTTTCTGACTTTCATGTTGGGTTAATATACAAAACATTTATATATTCATTTTTAATACGTTCGTTTTTCTCCTTATTTTAAAAATAAAACGACGAGAAATGTTGGGTGGGGCGACGTGCTCGACGTGGACTCTGACGCACGCATCTCAGCGAGTCTAAATACTAACACTTAAAACATACAATAAATATTATTAATATTTAATTATTAATTATTATTCTACGATATCCTACTACTAAATGCTAATAATAAATACCAACGATAAATACTAGTACTAAATACTAATAGCATAACCTAATATTAAATACTAAATAGAAGTACATATAAAGCAAAATAGAAAATTAAAATATCAATACTAAATATCTACCTTTAAAGTTAATGCTAATACTACACACAAAACTGTCGATGAGTCACGACGTCGCGTGGCTAGTGAGTCAAGAGTGACTTGGGATTCATTTAAGAAATAAGCGGAATCCCTACGAGGGACGAATATCTGGCAGCCTGGAGCCATGAGGAACTCGTTATTATATTAATATAATAAGGGATTATAGATCATTACCATACACAAATATTATGCGTCGTCAAGGATCATTGCGTACTGCGTTGTTTGGTGATAATTTAAATGAATAATTAATTTAATGAATTTACTTTGGAAAGTAAATTCTAGCTTTTCCACTCTTGGTCCATCTTTGAAAGTTTTTTGAACAAAAGCAAATGAAAACTATTAAATTTTCTGTGGTTCCAAATAATAATTCAGCTTGAAAATCAATCTACTATCTTCAAGTTATTCATCTTTATTTCCTACGCCCTTTTCATGTAGAAGTTTATCCTAAAATATTTGGTGTTCAAGTAATAAATTTGACATGACCAGAAACTTTCTACACATATCTTGTAATCCACTCGTATCTTTACTCTTAATCAACTTGAAACTGAAGTTACGCAAGATTGCGTTGTAGGATAAGTGCATTGAAATAAGTTAGTGAGGGGCTATGAGCTTGTGCCATATAAACACAGGGATGGAGATAGATAAGATTTTAAAGGTAGAGCTCATCTAAAAAATTACAACAATAAATGAATTGAAAATTAATGAATTAGGAAACAAAAGGTGTTTATAATAATCTAATCTAGTTCTCCGATAAATTACTGCTATGAACCGCTGGGAATGCATTCTATACTAAATTAATTTACAAATAAATGAGATAGTACTGAAATGAGATTGAAAAATTGTACTGAAATTCGTAATAAATGAAAATGTCCTCACCTGGACGACAGCAGGTGTAGGAGTCACTGCAGCGTTGGACTCTAAGAGGGCAAACTCCTGACAAAAATCTGCTCGAAAAAAACATAAAAATATAACTCAGTACTCACTGCAATGAGTGACAGAGAGCGCATTTTCTCGTCCGTCCGTGAAGTCACGGACAGACAGACGGACATGACGAGCACAATAGGGCATTTTTTTTCATAAATGAGAAAATGCGCTAAAAATGAGCTATGACCTAAAACCGTTGCCTGAGTCATGGCAATTGTGGGGGATGAAAGAAGCAGAGAAGTTGGTATAAGTCTAGAAGTATATGGAACCCGGTGGAAGTCTAGTAGCTACTTCAAACTATCGTCAGTCGTGAAAAGATCCGGTCAAATGACATGATTTTAGATCTATGAACAAGGCACGAACAGGAAAAGAATCAGCGACAGGCCACATCAGGCCTACACTTCAGTGCCGACATCACTATGTTATGTTATGTTATGTTATGTTATGTTATGTTATGTTATGTTATGTTATGTTATTTGATGTTATGTTATGTTATTTTATGTTATGTTATGTTATGTTATGGTATTTTATGTTATGTTATGTTATTTTATGTTATGTTATGGTATTTTATGTTATGTTATGTTATTTTATGTTATACAGCTTATAAAAGTCATTTGCTAACCCAATAACAAACTCCAGACTGCAATAACATATTTAAGTACAAGTACAGTACAAGAAAAAATTTCGATCTTATGGTTCGAGAACAAAGGCTTCAATTGAGTACATCTAAGAATAGCACACCTTGTAAGCCTCCAGAACTAAACCTTCTCCGGCCGCCTTTGCCCTGCACCGGCAGGACGAGACGACTTCCACCCGCCAGCGAACCTGATGCATACTCGCCTGATCAAAGAAAAAATATAACTCAGTACTCACTGTAGTGGGTGACAGAGAGCGCATTTTCTCGTCGACGAAAACGCGAAGGCACGGACGGACAGACAGACGGACGGACAGACGGACATGGCGAGCACAATAGTGCATTTTTCTATAAATGAGAAAATGCGCTAAAAATACATATTATTTCCATTTTCCATGTATTTCACAATTATGCACATAGACGAGAATGCAATAACAACAAATTTCAATTGATTGGTAATTTTGAAGGTACCTAGCAAAATCCAGACACGAAGTTATTGAAAGCTATGTTGTAGGAAGCAAATTAAATATTCGATGTGAGGACTCGAGAGTTTTGAATCAGTCTGTAAATCGTGCCAAGCTTATTTTGTTGCAACCGCTTGAGTTACTTCAACTATTAGAAACTTTTTTGATGTAACAAATACCAACTGTCACGTAAAAATTATTTTTGCTGTGAGAGCTCTTTCATGGGAAAAGATAGTTAAATATAAATATTATTAGATTATATAAATATTATTGGTCATTGCTGAATCATGTTGTAATGCAAGTCTGAATATCCTATATTCCTATTGAATGTTGCCGGCAACCTAAGTTCACATTTTCATTCCTCTACTTGATGATGCTTGAAATTAGAAATGCACGACATCAATTGATTAATAAGCACCTCCGGCTTGAGAGTCTCTGGAGGCTCATTTGCAACACAACACGGAATATATCAAACATATATACCGAATGTAGGAACCGCGTCCAGGAACGCACTGAAATAACGTGATTGGAACGGTTTCTTCATAAGTTGTTGCGCTTAGAACGAGTAAATATCAAATAATCAATGAAATACACAAAAATTGAGCTTATTGCTAATACACATAATTTGCTAGGAACACAGAATAAAAAATTCCAACACGGAAATAATATTCAATATTTTCACACAGCTATCCAACATCAGCCAACTATAAGGCTGCTGCAGTTGCCTTATTGGCCAGGTACCCTCAACTGATGAAAGCCATCAAGTTCGGTGATGCAGTAGTAAGTAACAAATTTTTATTCATCATTTAAAAATTTAGCTCTATCCATAATGTTTAAAATAAGTGATATTAATGTTTTTCATATTTGTCCTATTCATATACATAATGATTTTCCAAATGTTCTGCTGAACAATATAAATTAATCTTGAATAGGCTTTGATTCCAATATCACGTTCCATTGCCAGGAAATATGGAGGGTGAGGATTTCTATCAAAGCCCGCAACGTGCGACAGAGGAGGGATCGTCAAGTGCCTTGCGTGATGGCCGTGCGTGCCAAAAAAAAATTGCATCTGCCAGAGCAAGAAAACGATGCCATGCCCCCCCCCCCAAAAAAAAACCTGCCTGCTTTTGGTGTCGCCAACTATATGCCCCTGCAACCCCTTACAGAAGACGACATCTCAATTCAACGTCACAGAACCATGATGATCAACGAGTTGAGGAAAAATTCTCCTAATCCCCGCTTCATTGAAGAAACGATGCGTCTGACCTTTTACGATCGCAGGCGGCTTATAGTTACGGAAACTGCAACAGTAGCTAGCGTGGCTGAGCTGTACCCTGCTCTTTTCAATCCATATCAGGTTTGAAGCGTAGATTTTAAAATATATTCGATGATACATGCGCTTACTCACATATTTGATGCATTCCTTATAATTGCCGGTTTAACAATTAACTTGATCAAATAAAATCTATACTCTGCTCTTATTTGTACTCCGGTGCATTTACATAATCATTCGTCTGGAGCTGAATTTTATGTGTTACTTTTTGCACAGATACTCTTTGAATTCCAACGTTTGACGGAGATCGACTTGACGGAAAGCCTTCGTGGAAGAATGCGAGAACAATGGAGGGCACTTCACTTGCTGTGTCAAGTAGACATCGCTGACCAGTCTGATATGGACTCTGATGAATATGGAGGTGAGCCCAGTTCTTGAATAAAGACGGAGTTCATGATCCTCTTGGATGGCTTGGTAGTTCCATAACCCTTCTGAGAATTGAAATTTTTGCTTGAATCCATTCAATTTATGTTAACGTCGTCTCAATTTTTTTCTTTCAGAGATAATGATGTCATCTGGCTTTCTCCTGATCCCAGCATTGATGCGCGAACAGATCACATTTGACATGCCCTTACAGGTTAGGAGGACTTGGTCCCTACAATTTTGCTAATGAACAATATTACAGTATACTTTAAGTTTATTTAAATGAAATAGGAGGATTTATTATTAATTTTACCTGATAAACTTCTTTTGTTATCGCCCTTTATATAGATTTGCTTTCAATTTCAACCAGCTCAATGCTTTAAATTAGAAAAACTTCTGATTTTGATATTTGACAGGAATCTACTTCCGAGGCTGCCCCAAGTCTTCATTTCCGTGATGCTTCAGATCCCAGCTCCGAAGGGGTCATCTTCGTAGAAAAAATGATGATATGCCAAGTATCCAGCATTATCGAAGGATTTTCTACGTGGTTTGCCTCCTTCTATGTGTTCGACATGTCATATCCTAAATATGCCAAGAAGACGTTGTGCTTCATCCAACGAGGACTACTTGGTCTAAAGGATAAAAGCAAAACGCCTCTTACCGTTCTGGAAACGATGAGAAAAGAGGCCAACTTGAAGTAGTAATGACTATAGGTACTTCAAGTTGGCCAATTTTTGCCATAAATCGGTCTAAGAGTATATTTGACCTTTAATTTATTTTGGGTCGATATGAATAGGCATGTTAATTTCTGATATCGTTATCACCAAGCCAGTTTGCCAAATTTACCAAAGTTAGTACTACTATAGAGTAGTTACCTAATTTAGTTCATTTATGGTGCTCTATAATCATACGGTTTAAATTTTTCTATTCAACCTAACCCTCATTATTTATATTCAAGCTTATGTTGAAAAGATCCTCCCTGACGAGCTTAAGATTTCTTTAGGTGCTGTCATTATTTTCTTCCTGGTCGCTTGTCTTCACCTAGCTGGGTCCTACTCCTCTGTCGTGCCTCCCTCGGGCATGCTGTGATCTGCCATGGGTATGTGTTGCTCTGCCATGGGTATGTTG